TGGGAGAGAGAGCAGAGAGAAGAAGAGGAAAAGAAGAGAGAGACGAGATGAGAGGAGAGAGGTAAGAGAGAGAGAGAGAAAGGGAGAGAGAGAGGAGAGAGAGACACGATAGAGAGAGAGAAAAAGAAGAAGTAGAGAGAGAGAGATAGAGAGAGCATGATAGAGATAGAGAAGAGCATCGACTTGCATGGATTACAGAGCAGTGAAATGTCGCAGATCATAATGATTCCAGATTTAAGCATCGAGTCTTTTCGTTATCACAGGAAACGGAGTGCCAATGATCTGCATCACCGTCTTTGAATACACACATATGTATATATGTATATATTTAAATATATATTATTTATGTGCATCACATAATAAATCGTGAAATTCCATTGGATAAAACGTCGCAGGACTATTAAAACAATACGTGCCCGCCTGGGCGGGCGCACTATTGCTTAGCGCCGACGCACGTGCGCTTGCGCAGTGCGCAGTGCGTGCTTGCGCGATCTCAGACAATTTACTGCCCTTTATTCAATGTTTATTCAGTTCCAATGTGTTACGCTTTGTGTTTTAATACAAATTTGAATTGTTCGTTATAAGAAACGTTTGTCTTTTCACGTTCATATTTGCGAGTATATTGGCAGAGCATGTGACTGCATTAAAAACATTCCGATGCCTGTTGTGCGGGGCACTATGCTGTCATAGTGTTTGCCTTTGGGGAAGGGTATAGTTGCCGAGCCGGTAGCGAAAAAGCCATAATGCCCCCACACAACAGGCATTAATATTAAATATTATATATATATATATATATGACGGAACGGAGGGGGTATATATAAGTGGTTTTTTCACTCTACGGCGCTGTCTCTCAATTTACTTCCCTCTCTCTCTCTCTCTCTCTCTCTCTCTCTCTCTCTCTCTCTCTCTCTCTCTCTCTCTCTCTCTCTCTCTCTCTCTCTCTCTCTCTCTTCTCTCTCTCTCTCTCTCTCTCTCTATATATATATATATATATATATATACGGCGCGTGGTGGTGGGGGGTGTCTCGCTTCTTACTGTTGACATCGGCGGCTTCGAACGGTTTGCTCGACTCCTCGACGGTCGTGTCAGACACATTCGCTAGCTCTTGGATCTCTACGTAGCCGTTAGTGTCGACGTCGTAGCTAGCAAAGTCCGTCGGCAGCTTTATCGGTACAAAGCTGGTCTTTGTCTCGCGCACAGCGTCAGTCGCTACCACCGCCAGGGTCGCCACCGTCGCGCACAGCCAGAACATGGCGGTAGGCACCCCTGCGCAGAGATGCACGGAGCATGGATATTTTAATTGCTGTTAGTTTAAATGTAAGAATAAAAAAATAAAAATTACAATATTATGTAAAACAAAAAAGCATTTTAATTTTTGTTGGAAATTTTTAATTTTTAATTTTAATTTTAATGAACAGTAACCGCATGCCGTTACAGTCACCGTACAAGAACTAAATGAATGGTAGGTCTATTGAGTACGTTTACTTGTTCACTAAAACTACAACTGTATAAACTGTATCATAAGCACTCAGGCAACATACACCGCCTATGAAGATATTTTCCACTACGCGAAAAACTGCGACTACTAAACATTCAAAATGGTTTTAAGCAAATTCAAACCACAGACAACGCGTGTAAAGTCCCAAAAGTAAATACACCGCATACGGCGATATCTTATACTCGAATACGAAATATCGAAACTCCGAAATATAAATATTGAACAAGATGGCAACCGATAGCGTGCATACAATGTACCCAATAGAAACTCAGAGAAAAACGCACTGCATCCTAAATACCAAAACTCACTAACTTGATGTAAAAAACAAACAGTAAACAATCTCGTCGTCCTTCGACGTCTATTAGAAGTCGGCTGAAATGCGGTGGTGAATCGAAGTTGTTAGAATAATAGTGCAATAGGCTTATACAAACATTACGTAATGGGTAGAGGTCAGTCGAGCGTGAGTGAGAAGGAGGCCCACCCGGTGCGGGCGGAATATTCGTGACAAATGCGGCGATGGAGATTAAAAAACGCATGCGTCAGAAGAGCAAAGATGAACAGTAGGGGTGGACTAGCGGAGAGGCAGCGGCACTGAGGTAGTTTCTCTCTCTCTCCCCTTCGCTCACTCTCCTCTCTCTCTCTCTCTCTCTCTCTCTCTCTCTCTCTCTCTACCTACCTCTACTACCTACACACCACTACACACACACACACACACACACACACACACACACACACACACACACACACACACACACNTTCTAACCAGGTGTGTTCTATATTCAGGCGGTACAGGAGATAATTGCATATTTTTCAGCGGTGTTTGTGTTATAACCAATTCAGAATGTAATGCGCGTGTTCCGTGAACAGTCACTCCAGCTGTGAACGAAGATGGGTGAAGGAGGAGTGAAGGGGAAGAAGGGAGGAAGGTGGTGAGAAGGAGGAGGGAGAACGCCTGGTGGAGAAGGAGGAATTTAAGGGTGAGAAGGGAAAGGTATGGAGAAAAAGGAGGGGAGAAAGCCTGGTGGAGAAGGAGGAAGGGGAGAAGGCGAGAAGGTGGTGAGGAGGGGGAGAAGCTAGTGAGAGAGGAGGGGAGAAGCGGTGAGAAGGAAGGAAGGGGAGAGGGAAAAGGTGTGGACGGAGGCGGGGAGAAGCTGGTGGATAAAGGCAGGAGGGGAGAAGCTGGGTGGAGAATGAAAGATAGGGAAGAAGGAGAAGCTGTGGAGAAGGAGGAGGTGTGGAGAAGGGTGGTGTGATACGGTGGTGGAGAAGGGAGAGAGGTGTGCAGGAGAAGGGCACCTCCCTGCCAACCTTCCCTCACCCACCTCTCCTTCTCCAGCCACCTCCTCCACCACTTCTCCCGCGCCTCCTTCTGCCACCCGCTTCTCCCTCCGCTTCTGCAGCGATTACATCTGATTGCTCATAGACACAAATCCACGTGACAAAATAATGCATAATTATCTCCTGTACGCGGCCTGAATATAGACAAAAAACCCCCGTTTTCTAAATTGATGTGCTTGCGACACGTCGTTAAAAACGAGTTGTTCACTGTTCATGTGGCATGCCTCCTAGCCCTTCTAATTAACTTCTGCTGTACGGTTCCTAGCTTCTAAGAACGGGCTTGCGGCCCCTGTCCGGTTTTGCGCGCAAAAACGCGCCCCCAATCAGCAGAATACGGTTTAGAAACACGTACGGATATACATGCCATTCGCGTCATTAGTCCACGGCTGAAACAGATAGACGGCGGTTCAACAACCGTCATGACTCTTAGATGGTTCGTGCGGACTAGTCTGTGTGTGCGCGCGCACGTATAACAGCAGTCTAGTGATTGACTAGTGAGTGCGTGTATAGCGGGTATTTAACAGCAACGGACTGTGAGACCTCTGTTTCTCCCGATTGTCAGTGTGCATACGATGGCGCCAATACAACAGAAAAGGGTATTCGTCAGCGCCTTGTTCGTCTCTTGCATCATATTCAGTTTCTATTTCTATCGTTCACATAGGACGTCAGTAACATTTGATACCAGCACACAGCAGCAGCAGCAGCAGCAGAAGCAGCAGCAGCAACAACAACAGCAACAACAGCAGCAGCAACAACAACAATACCACCAACACCACCAACAGCAACAGCAACAACAACATCAGCAACAGCAGCAGCAGAAACGACAACCATCACATCAGCAACAGCAGCAGCAACAGCAACAGCAGCAGCAACAGCAACAGCAGCAGCAACAGCAGCAGAAACGACGACAAGAAGTGTTGCCGACACGGGATTACAGGCCGTTGGCGGCAGGCCATCTACCAGCTACCGATGACAAGCACACGCTGGCCAGCCAGGTTCCAGCAAACTATAAAATTATTACATTCGGAACGAAGTGGTTCGGCCATGGCTGGTACATCAAAAACGGTACTGCCGCTTTTTCGTGGCTGCCGTTATTTCAAACTGCTACGTTTTTGGATACGAGCATTTCACGAACAAGTGGCTGCGACGCAGAGCAGACGCGCCGTCTTATTTCATATAAGGGATGAACCAACGACATTTCCGCTGCCTATCCGGACTACCACCCACCCCACCAGCGATGGGTGTTCGACATGAGAGAGACCCCTATTAACACTTACAGAAATCTCTCGGATTATAATGGCATCTTTAACTGGACAATGACGTATCGCAGCGACTCGGACATTTACTGTCCACACGGTATTTTCATGCCGTACAAGAACGTCACGCGGCAGGATACATTAGACAACGTACATCCAGGTAATGCGGCTCATAATAACTACTACAGACGCTGTTTATGAGGTCGGAATATTCGAGGTTGTCAAAATGATTGAGAAGTTACCTGTCTAACCAGTAGGTGGCGCAACATGCCAGATACTATGTAATGACGGACACACCCTCCTTGATTGATCCTTTACTGATTAGTCGTTCCCCTTTCTGTGTTCGGCACTATTTAAAATGATCATGCAGTCTATTCTTGATATGAGAGCAAATTACAACATATTTGTGTGGTTAATTGTCCAAGCAATTTAGGGCCGTAGGATGAGCAAATTTGAAGGAGAAGGGGGACAAAGGTTACAAGAAATAAATGACGTGTAGTATAGGGTTAGCGTGAAGGAATAATTGTTGCTTTTTGTAATTTGTAATTATAATTTAGTTCTATTATTTATAACATTTTTGGGGCTCATTTACAAGTATTACCTTAGCTTAATTTTAATTTTGCTTCAGAATCTAAGGGGGTCTGCTGCCCATTCGCCAACCCAGAGATTACTGTCCTGCTAGCATAGCGCCAGGGAATGGCGGGATGCTGAAGCCGAAGAGAAATTCTGAGATCGGATTGTACCATGCACATCTCCTTCGGGCATGCCCGGTCGTTTTAAGCGCGGAAAATCTGTCGAAAAGAATTGTCTTAGATGGCTTGGGTGGCGACGAGCGACCCGCGTCCCTGTGCTCATGTACTTTAAAATAGCGGCAAGGAATGACGGAATGCTATGGCCGCAGTGAAATTCTGAGATCGGATGTTGCCATGCACATTTATATTGCTTTGAAATCCAGGGGTGTAGGATGGAGGATAGGACCAGATGTCCTTTTGCCCTTCTCCAGATGCTACGGCCCTGTAAACGATCGTCGTATATAATAGCGCGCGGGATTTACATTTGCATTTTGCAGTCAAAAATTACGCAGCAGGAAAGACGGGTCTGGTTAGCTGGTTTGTGAGCCACTGTGTTACGAAAAACAAGCGAGAGCAGTATGTTAGCAAGTTGAAAAAATTCGTCTCTGTCGACATTTATGGAGGATGCAGGTTGGTGTATTCTGGGTACATATTAATAATGATAATAAGCGTTAAACGCAGGCATAACTGAACATATATTAAATATCGAAAAAGGAGGATTATTCGGCTAAGAGACGCGACATACGGTGATTGTGATGCATAGTTTAATCTTACTTGGCTACTCTGCATCAGATGTCGCACTCATCAATTTCTCTCTCACTCTCTCTTTCTCGCTCGCTCTCGCTCTCTCAGTCTGTCTTGCTCCGTTCCCACATCTGTCTTATGTCTATCGCTTGTTATCTCATGGTCTTATTCTCATGCTCTTGATCAGTGTGCGCGTGCGCGTGCATGTGCGTGCGTGTGCGTGCCTGTGTGTGTGTTTCACGATCTCTCGCGCTTACATGTCCGCGCGCGGTTTCTCTTCCTCTCTCTCTCTTTCTTTCTTTCTCTCTCTCTCTTTTTCTTTCTTTTCCTGCTCATTCTCGCTTTCTGTCTCAGTCTCTTTCAACATCTCTCTCTTCGCATTTTCTTTCTCTCTGTCTCTCTCTCTCTCTTTTTCTGTCTTTGTCGCTCTGTCATACTATTTCTATCACTCTCCATTTCTCTCTCTCCCACTCTCTCTACTGTTCGCGCCCTCTCTCTTCCTCTCTATCGCTTTCCCTCTCTCACATTTTCCCTCCGTTTCTTTTCCTCCCTAGTCCTCATCCCTCCTACCTCTGTTTCCATCTCACGTTTTTCTCACGTTTTGCAGTCCTCAACATAAGGAGTGCGACTGGCCCCGAGGTTCGCTGCTCCTGCCTGCTGCGGCTGCCTGCATGAAAGACGTGATGAGTCATCACAAGTTCTACCTTGCCTTCGAGAACTGCAACTGCAGGGAATACGTGACGGAGAAGTTCTGGAGGAACGCCCTGGACTACAACTCCGTTCCCATAGTGATGGGGGCGCCACGCGAAGGATTTGCGACGCCTTCGCTCCTCCGCCGGCTCCTACATAATGTCGACGACTTCGAAACAGTTAATCAGGGCTGGCAAACTACCTACCAGAAGTTGGACGCCGACTGATGTGGCGCCTACAGTCGATACTTCAGGTGGAAGCAACTGGTGGATCGGCTTGAGATGGCTGAAAAATAACGACGGCGCTCTGTAGGTTGTGGCGAGAGCAATTGCACGACGACGGACTGCACCTGTGGCAATGGTAACGACCTGATATAGACACCTGGTGGAACGTAAAAGAGACTGCGTTGCTCGGACAAAAGACATTGCAGACAAAACTGACAGGCAAAGAGATGAAATTGGAAAAGCAAGGAAGGCAGTGAAAAATTGATGCATGCTTAATGAATAGATTATTGTTTCTATGCTAATATGGAGAGGTAGGCGCCCAGTAATGTAATTAACTTGATCGCCCTAGTTCCAGGCTTTACTATGATGGTTGTTCTTCTGTACTACACACGGGTTAATAAAGCAAATTGTACCTTTCTGTTAATTTCGTTTCGGGATATAAGCATGTGTCTGACTTTTAATATTTTTATTATATGCATATGTTGCAAGATGATAAATTATTGGAAACCAAGATGTTTTAGCAGATAATTAATTAACACTACAATTAACTTGTTAATTAGTAAAAATTAATTGAGAAGTTTTTGAAACAACACTAATACAGTGCTACTACTTAGTTCTGAAATTAACCTGCATATCTCATGTCCAATATAAAGATAAAACGTTAAAGGGATTACGTCACGAATTTTCGATGGTAAAATTATTCATTGATTGTCCATATTGTCCTGATTGTCCTGATTAATTGATTGTCCTGATTGTCCTGATTGTCCCTGATTAATTGATTGATTGTCATATTGTCCTGATTGTCCATACACCTCCTGCTATGATACAGTATTTACAAACGGGTCGTCTTATAAATATTTAATTGAATTTTTAACGGGAATATTTATCGTTTGAATGAATTGTTTGAGTACAAATCGCGACTCGTTAACACCTATTTCGCTGATATACCTCACACATGTGTCTGAATCCAGTATTATACCGCCGTAAAAATTATTTATTAATATTTTATATTTATTACTTAGAGTTAACTTAACAGCAGTCTTTATTGATAATAAGGTGCATGAGGGTCCGAGTATGAATCTTCTCTCGGTGCCCGTGAGAAGCGTGGTTGTAGTGCTCTAAATGTACACCCCGAACCACAGCGCATATTGCTGGCCTGGTAATGGCATTCACAGTAAAATAAAGGAGC